GGCTTCCACCTGGGAAGTCATCGGGCACTTCATCTTCATCAGACACTGTGGCGCTGGTCTTCTTCTTCATCCTCTGAGAGGCTGTTACATGCTGCGCCTGAAACGAGGGCCATTTTCAGGCCCTGTGTTGTTTTCAGCCTAAAAGCCTGAAAACAAGGGCCTACAGGTGTAGGCCCTGTGTCGTTTTCAGCCTAAAAGCCTGAAAACAAGGGCCTACAGGTCCTGTGTCGTTTCAGCCTGAAAGCCTGAAAACAAGGGCCTACAGGCCCTGTGTCGTTTCAGCCTAAAACAGGGCCCTCCAGGCCCTGAGTCTTTTCAGCCTGAAACGGAGGGCCATTTTCAGGCCCTCATAAGACCGACCTGCCCTGAAACTTAGGCACCAGACCAGGGTTTTAGCACAGGCCATTTTGGGCCTGTTTTCAAGACAACCTTTATTGGAGCTTCAACGCCAGGGTCTGGCACGTTTTGGAATTGGCAAGAGCAGCCTCCTGGACGGGCCAGCACTATATAGGACTGGCCTGGCCCGCCCTGCAGGCTGCAGGTAGTTCATAGGGACTTCCCAGGCACTTCACGTGCAGTTCAGGAGGCAGGAGGTAGTCTTCAGGATTCGGCAGCAGCACTCTGGAGGAGCGCTGCGGTAGTAGTAGTAGCGTTAGCAGTAGTCTTCAGCGCTGGGCGCTAGTAGAAGCTAGAGTAGTACTGGAGAGAGAGAGAGATTGGGCGGAGGCCAGGGAGACTTACCTGCAGCGCCATAGCTCCAGCTTCGTCTTCAAGGTACCTGCAGCACAGCGCCATCTTCACAGGTTGGTACCTGGCACATGAGAGAGAGAGAGAGTTCTTCTTCTTCCTCTTCTCAGTCCACCATCTCCCTCTCACCCTCTTGCTACCTGACTTCACTGCATCAGCAGACTACGAGAGAGCGGGATTGGTGACATTTGGTCCAGACTCGACATTGGGCTTCAGACGGACTATTTGGGACTTGTAACGAAGACTTGGTGTTGACGACATTCCCATCTCCCCCCTCTCTGATTCCCTCCTCTTCGTCTGTGCATGATCTGGCCCTGGCGCATTCTTCCTGTGTGTACCGCCAGGCGCTGTCTTGTACTACGTGAGAGAGGTCAATCCCGGTCAGGTCAGGTCTTATATCTAAGTATTCCACTGCGCTATTATGTGCCATTTTTGTATGTATCAGGATGTACACTGCTTGTTGAGATTCCTCTAGCACTGCATTGTCCATTCAGTCCTTTTCTTCACATTGCGGATCCTTGGCTTTACATACATTGCCCAACTGGGCATGTAACAGTTGGTATCGGAACACCGCACGTGAATCAGGACAACCTGATCTGACACGGGTGCGGGGACTAATTAGTTGATTAGTCTTGATTGATTGATTGATTAGAGCACACTAATTAGCCCCCAAAATCACGATTTTGACCTCACTGCCGAAAATCGATTTTTTTTCTTCTTTTCTTGGATTTTGTTTTCCTGCTATTTCTGTTGTGGAAAATCGCAATAGCGCAACACCTGAAATTTCCGTTTTTGTTTTTCTTCTGAAAATTCGAAATTTCGTTGTTGGAAATCCGGAATATCTTTTTTTAAAAAATTCCGACTTCCTTTTGCAATCTCCCGTTATTTGGAAATCCGGAATTCTTTTTTTCCCGAAATTCGTTTGTTTTTTTTAAACGGTACGAGAAATCCCTCTTGCAGTTACCATTTTCCAAACTGCACATACTCTCATCTAAGTAATTCCGAATATTTTTTATTTCTTTTCAGAATTCTTTTTATTCGCAGTTCTATGATTTTCACTATCTGATAACCATTGGGAGTGTGAAAGTTCGAAAATTTTTTTTCCTCATTGGTAATTTCGCACTTCAGGGGGAATTGGGAGGCCTACTGAACTTGCAAACGAGTATTTTTTTTCTCTTTCTCTCGAATTTTTTTGCAAAGTTCAAACTTTTCTTTTTTATTAGTGGCTCCTTATCTGGGCGATTTATCCCACCCACCCCTCCCCACCTATGTTGTTGCCCCCTCTGGTCTTCTCTATCTGTCTCCGGGTACCCCTGCAGCGGCATTGGTGAGTTGCCACGTCAGCAGGCCACATCAGCAGATCACGTCAGCAGGCCATGTCAGTAAACCACGTCAACAGGCCATGTCAGCAGGACATGTCACCCGACAGCCGTGCCACATCAGCAGCCAAGCAGTGCCACGTCAGCAGCAGGGAGTGCCACATCAGCAGTCCTCCAGCCTGATCTATGCTCACGCACTTACAAACAGCCAGCATGGATCAGAAACCCGGGGAAACAGTCGAGGCCTATCAGGCCCGGATGACGGCTTTGTTTACCGAAGCCAAAAAACGGGCGGATGAGGTAGCAGCCGCAGAGAAGAAAAATGCAGAGGACACCGAGAAGGCACGTATGTTGGCAATCAAACAGCAGCAAAGACTGTCGATGAAGGACGAATTCAACGACGCAAGAAAATATTCAACGGAGAGCGAGCTTTGCTCACAATGGCGGCGGACTGGCGGGCTGAGGCCGAGAATGGTAAGATGGAAGAGAGTGAAAGCAAGATCGTTCTACTCCTCTCCCATTTCACGGATCTCCTGGCAAAGTGCATTGCACAGCAGGAGGACATCCACAGCCTCGACGACGCGGTTCAAACGCACAATCAGGCGTTTGACCAAGTCAACAGCCGCCTCCAGCAGCTGGAGCAACGACCCGTCGCCGCCCCCGATGCCAGCTCCTCCAACACCTCCGATCACCTCAATGCATTGGAGATAGACGTCGGAGCCCTCAAGGACGACAAGTAGCTACAGCAAACCGCCACGCAACAATTGGAACAACGGATCTGTGCTGCCGCCCCCAACCCCGGTTCCGCACCGCGCGAGACGAGTCCAAGGTCCAATGATCAGGAGATCTTCTACGATTCGACGAAAACGGACCCGATTCCGTGGTTCCGCAAGTTCGAGCTCAAGTTGCAGCTACACCACATCAGCGAGGACAAGCATCACGCGTACTTATACTCCCGGTCGAGAGGCGTGTGCTAAGCATGGTTGGACAATCTCTTGTCCAAGTACAGGGTGGTAGCTGCCGACTTATACAACAAGATCAGTTGGGATGATCTAAAGGCGCCGTGGCATAAGCGGTTCCAAGTAGAGCCGCCGGAGATCAAGGCAATGGACAAATTGTTGACCTTCGAATAAGGCTTACTGCCGAGTGTTGACTGGATTGCCTAGTACCAACGCTTGACATCTGTCCCAGACATTCGGATGGGCTTCAAGGCCGTCAAACACAACTTCATCACGGGGTCGTGTCCGACGTTGGGCAACGCCTTGACTCACGTCGAGGACACCCTGACGACAACGGCGGAGCTCTTCGACAAGGCCGCGCAGATTATTGTCACGAACAAGGAGGCTAAGAACCTCAACCGTTCGTCTGCGACAGGCCCGAGCAGAGATCAGCATTGCCCGAAAGTGGTCGTGGTCGTGGCGGCAACGCCAAACAACCAATCTAGTGAGGCCGTGTCTGCCAATGAAGGGAACAGACTCGCAGCCGCCCGGGATGGTGGCCGCCCCAACATAGGCCGAGGACGTGGCAAGACGAGGACAAACACCGCATCTATCCGCGGGCCCGGCGCAGCAGCTCCAGCCCCATGGTCCGACTACGGTCTCTCCGAACGTGCGTACAAGCTACGCACGAGATTCCGCTATTGTCTGTGGTGTAACAGCGATCTCCACGACACAATGGGCTGCCCGTCGAAAGGCAAAGGCAAATCGGGAAACTCAGCACCGCCGGGAGTGAATCGACGACACTCTTGACGCCTTCGGAACCGGTCGCTTCGCGGGTGACCGCCCTTCGTTCCGAGGCACGTGCGAAAGTCGATAGTCCTCCTCTTCTATATTCTTATGAGGACTGTGCTGCCCGGCTCGTTCCTACGTTGGGTACTCATGCTCAAGGACAAGACGTGTGTGCGACATCTTTTCCGTCCGACAGCGGTGACTTATCGTCTTCAAGTGGTTCTTCACGGGATTCGGTGCGCGAGTTCAACATAGAGGTCATGGACCCACTCACATCGGAGGATTTTGCATGGCTTTCTCTCCCGACCGCGGGCCACTTCCCGGGACCGCAATGTGCAACATTATGCGCTCATCTTCACATGTACTTATCCTTCTATGCACCACCAACTTCGCCGACGGATGACGAAGTTGCGGTGGGGGACATCCTTGCGTATGTTACCAAGGTGCCCCGCGAGTTTCACAAGCAGTGGTACGACGACAACAACGTACCGCTCCTCTATGTCCGCATCCAAGTTGGGCAAGCGTCCTGCAGCGCTTTGCTGGATAGTGGCGCGTCTCGCAATTTCATGAGCTAAGCCTTTATGCAAAGGGTTGGCCCTGTCTCTTATACACATCTAGATGTGTATAAGAGACAGTTGCTGGATAGTGGCGCGTCTCGCAATTTCATGAGCTAAGCCTTTATGCAAAGGGTTGGCCTTGGCGCACAAGTTCGGAGGAAGGCAAACCCGACGGCGATCAAGTTGGCAGACGGAAGGACGCAACAACTTATCGACCATTACATCGAGGCCGTACCGGTGTATTTCGCACCTCATGCATGCGAACCGATGACGTTCGACATTTTGGACACGGATTTCGATATCATTTTGGGAATGCCTTGGCTTGCAAGTGCGGATCACACGGTCAACTTCCATCGGCGGACTCTTACCGTTCGAGACGCCTTCGGCGCTGAAGTGTCGCGTACTATTCCTCTTCCACACCCTTCGATTCGGTGCCAAGTGGTGACGGCCAAGTCGTTCTGAGCTACTTGCGCTTACGAGCAGCCCGACGAGATAGGCCTATGCTTCCTGCGGACCGCCGTGGTAGCCAACACTTCACCCACAGACCCCCGTGTGGTGCGGTTGCTTGACGAGTTCCCCGACATCTTCGAGTCATCTACCAGTGTGGTGCCGGATCGGCCGATCTCTCACGAGATCATTCTTGAGGCCGGTGTCGTGCCGCCGAAAGGTTGCATTCACTGCATGAGCGAGGAGGAGCTTACAGTCCTCCGCGCGCAACTCGATGACTTGTTGGACAAGAGCTGGATCCGCCCTAGTAGCTCCCCATATCGAGCGTCAATTGTCTTTGTACGGACGAAGAACAAGGATCTACAATTGTGCATCGACTACCGCAAGCTCAATGCGCAAACCGTCAAGAATGCGGAGGCTCGTCCTCGTATTGACGATCTCCTTGAGCGACTGGGTGGCGCAGAGTACTTATCTAAGTTGGATCTGAAATCGGGATACCATCAGATTTCGATCCGGCCAAGCGATCGCTATAAATCCGCGTTCAAGACGCAATATGGGCATTTTGAGTGGGTGGTCATGCCTTTTGGCCTCACCAACGTTCCAGCGACCTTTCAAGCGGCAATGACAAACGAGTTTTGTGTGATGCTGGACCGGTTCGTGCTGGTCTACTTAGACGACATTCTCATCTATAACCGGACATTGGAGGATCATCTCGAGCACCTTCGACGAGTGTTGGAGACGCTCCGCCGCGCCAAGTACAAAGCCAACCGCGACAAGTGCGAATTTGTCCGGCAAGAGTTGGAATACTTGGGCCATTTTGTCACACCGGAGGGCATCAGTCCGTTGTCGGACAAGATTCAAGCCATCCAAGAGTCGCCGGAGTCGTGGAACGTCACGGATGTCCGTTCGTTCCTTGGCCTTGCCGGCTACTACCAACGTTTTATCAAGGGATACTTGAAGATCGCGGCCCACTTGACCAAGCTTCAATGCGAGGATCGATCTTTTGACTTCAGAGAGGATGCGCATGAATCATTTTTGGCTCTCAAAGCCGCTTTATTATCTGCGGAGGTCTTGCGCATATACGACCCGCTATTGCCAACGCACATCACTACGGATGCGTCCGGCTATGGCATTGGTGTCGTCCTCGAACAACACGATGGCGTGGACTCGCACCCGATCAAGTACTTCAGCAAGAAAGTGTTCGTCATGCACTCCATTGATGATGCACGCAAGAAGGAGCTCCTAGCCTTCGTCCACGTGCTCAAGCGGTGGCGGCACTTCCTCCTTGGTCGAAGTCAACTCTGATGGGTAACGGACAACAATCCGTTCGTCTTCTACAAGACCCACGACACCGTCAATAGCACCATCGCCCGTTGGATGACTTTCATCGACCAATTCGACTTTTTCCCGATCACATTCCGAGGAAGTCTAACCGTTTTGCGGATGCTCTTTCACGGCGTCCGGATCATTGTACCACAGTCTATTCGACCTTCAACATCGACAACAACCTGTGGGACAACTTCATCCGCGGCTACCAAGCCGACCCCGAGTTTCGCGAAAAATACGCGAATTGCTATTCTCCTAGTCCGGTGCATTCTCACTACCGGATCCAAGAGGGGTAGTTGATTGTCCACACGCGGGGGAAGGACCTTCTTTGCATATCGAGTGACTCTCACTTGCGTACACGACTTCTTGGCGAGTTTCACGATGCTCCCGCCACCGGACACTTTGGAGTCAATCGCACGATTGGCCGACTTCACAAGCGCTTTTGGTGGCACGGCTTTCTCAACGATGTCACACGCTATTGCAAGTCATGCAAGGTTTGTCGACGCTGCAAATCCCGCAACCATCGTCCGTACAGCGAGTTGCGACCATTACCGGTCCCCTTGCGCCAAAGGGAAGCGATTGCCATGGACATTACCGGACCGGTCCCCAAGCACAAGACCGGTGTGGATGGGATTCTCACGGTTGTAGACCGACTCACCAAGTTCGCCATATTTTTGCCTTGCCGCTATCATGTCAAGGCACCGGAGTTGGTCGAAGTTCTTTACGCCGGTTGGATTCGAACCAAGGGTTACCCCAAGGAAATCGTCTTTGACCGCGACACTCGTTTCATGTCCAATATTTGGTTGGCGCTCATCAAACGATGGGGCTCATCTCTCAAGCCAAGTTTGGCTCGCCACCCCCAAACCGATGGCCAAACAGAGAGGGCGCATCAGACCGTACAGGTTCTCCTTCGCACTCTCATCCGTCCCGACCAAAAGGATTRGGTCGAGCAGCTGCCAGATGTCGAGTTGGCATACAACTCGTCCATCCACCCGGCTATCGGGATGTCGCCCTTCAAGTTCGAGCACGGCTCGCCGGTCACTTCCCCGTTGGACACAATCATTCCACGAGCGGCCGAGAGCGACGACCATCTTTTTTTCTTGCGTCAGATGCAAGAGCTACTTGTCAAGGCACGCGACCAGATGGCTAAGACACAGCAACGCATGAGCCAACGGGCCAATCGTCAGCGTCTTCCTTATCCATTCCACGCCGGCGATCTCCTTTGGGTTTCCGTCGCGGAGTTCAGCCTCAAACAAGATATCTCTCGCAAGCTCCTCCCAAAATGGATGGGGCCTGGCCGATCGTGGCACCTGTTGGGGATGCACCCGAAGGACCTTCCTTCATCATTCAGGTGCCCGCCCACTTGCCTGTCTACCCGGTCTTTCATTGCTCCAAGTTGGCTCTTTATATGCCAGAGGAACATGACGATTTCCCCGAGCGACGATCGCAAGACCCACCCTCCATGGATGGTTTTCAAGAGGTCGGCGATATCATCTCCCAGCGACGCTACGGCAACAGGCCGACCGAATACTTGGTACACTTTGCGTACTGCACCCACAAAGCCGACTGCTGGTTGACCCGTGCGGAACTCCAAGCAACAGCTTCAGATGTTCTTCCACGCTACGAACGCAAGATTCAAGGCCAACTGATTTCTTCTGCTCCACGTCGCACCCGCGTTCAGGTTCCACCTTCAGACCGTCAGCTCCTGAGTCTTTGCAGCCTGGGCCATTTCCCGATCCTCATAAGATCGACCTGCCCTGAAACTTAGGCACCAGACCAGGGTTTTAGCACAGCCATTTTGGGCCTGTTTTCAAGACAACCTTTGTTTGAGCTTCAACACCAGGGTCTGGCACATTTTGGCATTGGCAAGAGCAGCCTCCTGGACAGGCCAGCACTATATAGGACTGGCCCGCCCTGCAGGCTGCAGGTAGTTCATAGGGACTTCCCAGACACTTCACATGCAGTTCAGGAGGCAGGAGGTAGTCTTCAGGATTCGGCAGCAGGACTCTGGAGGAGCGCTGCAGTAGTAGTAGTAGCGTTAGCAGTAGCCTTCAGCGCTGGGTGCTAGTAGGAGCTAGAGTAGTACTAGAGAGAGAGAGAGA